CAACAAAATATTAATAAACAAAATGAAACAGTTTATTTTCATCTTACAAATAAACCAAAATTTGTTGAAATTGATACAGTGGTTGTCAAGATAATCGAGTTTTAAGTTGGCAACAAATTTGCATTGATGATGATCGTCATCAAGTGTCGGTAATTTATGATAGGCCACTGTACATGTTCATTCTATAAAGACTTATTTAGTCTTTAATATTAAGTACATGTAAAATGATAATTAATACTTTTAGTTGTTTTGCTCCTTTTATCGATTTCTAACCTTGTTAAACAGTATGAAGTGTATTCCGTTAATGCACCAAAAAAATTTCCCTATCAAACTAAAAAATCACGATCAAACTAAACAATTTGTTACATATTATTATTTCTTAGATAATTAGTATAACACTGTTATATTTAATGATTTTCTTTAAAAGCTTGTATTACAAGCAGTGTTCGAAATCTGGGTCTCAACGTGAGTACAGGGTTTTCTAAATTGAGAAATAATATTCGCTATTATTAGATTGCTATGGCACACCTAGGGATATTAAAAAATTCGGTATTTGTGTTTGCTTTGGCTGAGCTGCTCCAAACATGACTCGATAACAATTAATAGTACCTGACGAATGGCGAAAGCTTTCGTCAAGTAATTTGGTTTGACGAATTGACGATTAAACGAAACCTATAACGATAACGATTGATAAAACATAAGCTTAACATATGTAATTTAGAGCTAAATAGTTGATCCAGTATTAATTTGGAACTACTTGAACCATTCAACGTGTTATATTTGATGAAACTTTCTTTAAGAAAATGTCAGTGGCGAATGAATTATATACATGGAAAATCAATCTACATGAGTAAATGTTGCAGATTAAAATGTTAATTTTTGACCAAAATTATGCAAATTATGTAAATAATTTGGTCAAATTATCATAAATTCTTATAGTTAAATACTAGATTTTTTAAAATAATGATGACTGTAAAAAAAATCGGTAACGGTCAAAATCCCAAATGTCCATAACGATGAGCCCGAATGCACCAGAATTACTTGAAATTGTGTACAGTTCCCAGTTTGGTATACCTGATCACTGTTTGTAATAATAAACATAAAAGAATGTTAGTATTATCTTGTAATGATCGAAGCAGATTCCGTACAGATTCCTATATAAAATCTCACTTTGTAACATCCATGATCACTTTGAAAATCTACACGAAAACTCTCATCCTGTGATATCAACATCAGCACTGCCATCCCTAATAATGTTAATACAAAATTATTAATTTATGATCTCGAAGAATGTGAATTATTAAACATTTGAATTATTATACATTCTATTTTTTCAATCATAGAAATATTTATATCAATATTCATCTTTTATTATAGTTAGACTTTGTCAATTAAATAATTTTTTGTCTTGAAGTATAGCCAAGCCCCTTTTATGAGAATTCCCAAATCTTTCATAGTTTGTACTTCGGATCCTGTGAAACTATATTTCAATTGAAAGAATAGTCATCCGAACATTTGGGAATTAAGCAATGGGTGGTTTGATAAAATTAAATATTAAATTTACTTTGAAACTCATCTAAACTGCGCTTCAACGCTTATTCTTTCGTGTAATAATGAAATTGATTAGCTTTTATATCTTTTGTGCTCAATAAAATTGATAGCTTTGCTTTTTTTGCCTTAAAAAGGTTATGCGTTTTCTTTTGATTAGTGTGTTGGTCATGTCAATAAGTTCAACAATTTGTTTTGTGTTGATAGTGACCAAAAACTATCCATATCTCTGTGGAATCCGTGAATCTTCTTTAATTTATCCCGAATCCCCTTTAAGACTCTTACTTTACGTTCTTCTTTATTATCCAACTAATAGTTTTCATAAATATTATCACAAGAGACCTTTAGAACAACTAGGAAAATTCTCTTTTTGTAAATCATTCAAACCCAGGCTCCTCCCTAGTGATAACTATTGCAATCGGGTGTCACAACGTTGCAACTCAAAATTACTAAGGTTGCAACCTGTTGCAACCTGTGATGCTTATTTGTCACAAGTTTGCAACAGTTGAGGAGCTCATTTTTACTCCTCCAACCATCATGTTACATTTTATTTCCTTCAGATCCAACAACTTTAGGAGGTAGCGTAACAATAGTACATGTACATATCCCGAAATGTATGAAATACTAAAATTATCATGAGATGTCATTTATCAGTAAATTTGGGATGTCGTGTATTCAGGATATTATTCATTCGGGATTTTGATCTTTCGGGCTTTCGACCTTTTCAGAATTTCGTGATTCGGAATTTCGTAACAGTCGCAAAAAATATAGTAAAATTAAATTTTATTGATATAATTCTTATATATTACATATATGGTGATTATTTAATATTTCATTTAATTTCAATCTATCACAATAAAAATCTAATTTTTCTCACATCAATCAGGAGGAAGTTTATTTTATTGAAAAACAAAAAAACAGTTCTTTATTAAAAACTAATGTTGCTTGCGGTATCGTTATTGCTTTTTTACAGTAGAAAATCCCAGTTTAGTCAATCGTCTCAGGTTTCTTCTGACGAATGGTTTCGTCATGATTATAATCGATACCAAAACGAGATGATATATGTCCTTAAATTAAATATTGCGCTGTAGTGGCTTCTAAAGTTGAAATTTGAACCTAGTCGAATTTTTAACATTCCTGCCTACAACTTAGTATTGATTTCGCAGGTCTAAAGTATTTAATAAGAATTTTTATAAAAAGAATAAAAAATTATTATGTGTAATAAAAATGTAAATTTTTATAAGAAAATTCTATGGATCATGAAATGAAGGGGAATAACATCTTTATGAAAATCAAAAACTTGAGATCGCAAAGAAATTCTTATTAATGGAGAAGACAGATCTTCTGTTACGACGTCAACAGTATGTCGTATAAACGTATTGTGATTAGTTTATCACAAGTTCATGTATTTAGGCTTCTCATAAGTGTATGTATTTTTTATTTTAACATTCACTAAAATTGATTATGGATAAATCAGGTACCGTAAACCGCTGACCAAAGTATCCCTCTGACTAAAGTACCCTCCTCCTTTTTGGCGCCCTATTTTTGTAAAGTATCCGGGTACTATGCATGGTATATGCATTAAAAAAATTTAAGCGTGATTTATCAAGTACCCCGTGTACTAAACATAGTTAGTAGCTTAGAAATTTAAGCATAGTGCAACAGCTTGTAAAGTATCTAATTATTATTATTATTGAGTAAAAAGAAAAAAAGAATGCAATGTTCGGCATTCCACTTATATACAAAAAGCCTATTGATAGTATAACAAAATATTAATATTCAATTTCTTCCTGGTCACTAAAACTTTGATATGAATTTCCACTCGCATTACCCACCACACTACATGCATTACGCAATGAACCTTCACCTGCATTACCCGCTGCATCATTCAATAAACTTTTATCTACAATTTGAGGTAGGCTTTCACTTATTTCATCATTCCAATTATTTTGATATGTCTCATCCTCTGAATCATAATTTAAATTCACGTTTACTTCCTCTTCTTCCTCTTGAGTAGTATTTACCATTGTATAATCCTCAGTTGTACTGCTTACCTGATCATAATCAAATAATAAATTATCTTCTGAACCATCTGCTTCAGTTGAAACACCACAACATTTAAATGCTCGCATAATGAGATTGGGATCAATGGCATCCCACGCAGTTTTGACCCATTCTGTTAACTTGGCATAGGATGGTTTCTGGATTCAACTGGCTGCAGTAAGTTGATGTATATCTTGTGATATCTAATTATTATATAACTCACGTATCTAAAAATAATAAATTAATATCATACATAATATTAATATAGTAGAAAAAGAATAAACTTACCTTTGTTTTGAAACACTTATTAATTGCAACATCTAAAGATTGCAACTTTGAGGTCAAACCACCAGGAATTATAACAATATTTGTGTTTTTCTCAACAAATCTTCATTTTACACTATCTACTAGATGTCCTATAAAGGAATCTAGAACAAGAAGAGATTGTGAATTTCCATAAGGATTTCTTTTGGTACACACCTTTTCAATCCACCATAATATTTCTTCTTCATTCATCCATCCTTTTGTATTAGCTCGAACAAAACCTCTTTAGGAAAGATTTCTTGTGGAACTTTTTTCAATTTGAAAATGCACAAAGATGGTAGTCTTGTGCCATCTGCCAAGCTAAAACCACTGTAAAATTTCTTTTTTCATTGCCAGTTGTACGAATGTTGACAGTTTTAGTTCCATATTGATCAATTGTTGTTGCAACTGGATGATCGAATGTACATGGAGTTTCATCCATATTGCCAATGAATTTTAAAGGATAGTCATGTTGAGTTTGACGATAGAGAACAAAGCTTAAGAAGCTTTCTTGTTTTTCAATTAAATCAGCAGGAATATGCTGAGCAATAGTAGTTTGTCATTGAGAAGATAAATTATGGCAAGTCATAAAAGCATCAAGCCACTTTTCTGAAAATTTGAAATCTTGAATTCTAGGATAATGATTTTTCCATTCATTTGTTGCTGCAAGAGACATAGCTTTTCGGATTGCTACCTTTCTTTGAACTGCTTTTCCAGAATTATGCATATCTTGAATCCAATTAGCCAAAAATGTTTCCAATTCTCGGTATGCAGCTGGCTTTCCTTTATGAAGTTTTAAAATATGAGGTGCTACAGATCTTAATTCTTGTATCTTGTTTTTCCAGTCGCGTACTTGTTTGGGCTCAATACCAAACTTTTTTGCTGTTCCACGAATACTTTTATGGTGCTGAAGATAATGAAGAACCATTAGCTTTTCTCTGGCACACCAAGATCGACGCAATTTTTGAGTAGGTCTTGCTCTTGCTCTTTTGCTCGGTTTATTTGCACGAACCATTTTTTGATGAAAAAAGCGCGTTTTTTACGTGTATGCAATTAAAAATTTGTGATCTACAAGTACTCCTAAAATATATAATACCAAAGTGTAATACCCGGATACTATACACGGTTGTACCCCCCCCCCCCTTCTGACCAATGTACCCTCCTATGTAAAGTACTCTACTAAATAGGGTGAAAATATTAAGTACCCGGGGCTTTTGGTCAGCGGTTTACGGTAATTATGTTTTACTATATAAGTACATGTATTCACACACACGAGTTTGTCACACATAGAATTTGAATTCACTGCATGCATGCACATGGGTCCCGTAACTGTTTAATTTTCATTTAACCAATTCACTCATTTTATTCCACTGAACTCAAAGATGGAATCGAATACTAGTCATTGTAATGAATGTATTTATTGTCAAAAGAACGGATACTGCGATGAGTGTTTAGTTCACAATACTCATGATTGTAGTAATTGTTCTGAGTGTCAAAAAAATGTGTGGTGTTGGTACTGTGCCAAATATCACAAACGAATTCATAACGATGAATTGTCTAGCGGAGATAAAGATATCGACAATCTAATAAAAGAATGCAACAAAATTAATTATAAATATCAAAATAAATTCGAATGGATTCCTTTTGAAAGATTTACTAACGTTGAATATCTTGCAAAAGGAAGTTTTGAATCAATTTATAAAGCAACCTGGTTGGATGGACCATTGGATTTTGAATATTACAATAATGGTAAATATCCTAAATGGGACCATGAAGAAAATAAATTTAAACGAGATGGAGAAAGAGAAAGAAAAGTCGTGTTGAAGTCATTACACAATTCAAAGCAAATAACTCCAGGGTTTATAAACGAGGTAAAAAATAAATATTTTTCTAAAGAGGAAGTTACTTTTTGTTTTCTAATACAACCAAATTTTTCAAATATAGATTTGTAATGGACTTGAATGTTATGATTACGGCAACTTGATAGCATATTATGGAATGACTAAAAACCCAGTTACAAACGATTACTTGATAGTAATGCATCCATACTATGGTGAACTTCACAGATATAAAGCGAATTCAAAGTTGGAATCAAATACTCATCGTTGTAATGAATGTACTGAATGTCAATGGAATAGATACTGCGAGAAGTGTTTAGTTCACAATATTCATGATTGTAGTAAATGTACTAGATGTCAAAAATATTGGGAATGCGTTGACTGTTTCAAATTTCACAAACGAATTTATTACGATGAATTGTCTAGCGGAGATAAAGATATCGACAATCTAATAAAAGAATGCAACAAAATTAATAACGATAAAACGAATAAATTCAGATGGATTCCTTTTGAAAGATGCACAAACGTTGAATATCTTGCAAAAGGAGGTTATGGATTAATTTATAAAGCAACCTGGTTGGATGGACCATTGGGTTTTGAATATTACAATAATGGTAAATATCCTAAATGGGATCATGAAGAAAATAAATTTAAACGAGATGGAGAAAGAGAAAGAAAAGTCGTGTTGAAGTCATTACACAATTCAAAGCAAATAACTCCAGGGTTTATAAACGAGGTAAAAAATAAATATTTTTCTAAAGAGGAAGTTACTTTTTGTTTTCTAATACAACCAAATTTTTCAAATATAGATTTGTAATGGACTTGAATGTTATGATTACGGCAACTTGATAGCATATTATGGAATGACTAAAAACCCAGTTACAAACGATTACTTGATAGTAATGCATCCATACTATGGTGAACTTCACAGATATAAAGCGAATTCAAAGTTGGAATCAAATACTCATCGTTGTAATGAATGTACTGAATGTCAATGGAATAGATACTGCGAGAAGTGTTTAGTTCACAATATTCATGATTGTAGTAAATGTACTAGATGTCAAAAATATTGGGAATGCGTTGACTGTTTCAAATTTCACAAACGAATTTATTACGATGAATTGTCTAGCGGAGATAAAGATATCGACAATCTAATAAAAGAATGCAACAAAATTAATAACGATAAAACGAATAAATTCAGATGGATTCCTTTTGAAAGATGCACAAACGTTGAATATCTTGCAAAAGGAGGTTATGGATCAATTTATAAAGCAACATGGTTGGCTAAACCATTAGACGAATGGGATCATGTAGAAAATAAATTTACACGATATGTAGAAATTGAAGTTGTGTTGAAATCCTTACACGATTCAAAACAAATTACACCAGAGTTTATACACGAGGTAAAAAATGAACGATTTACTAAAGTAAAAGTTGTTTTTTGTTTCTAATACAATTAAATTCTAAAATAGATTCAAACTGGGCTTAAATGCTATGATGCTGATTTTTTTAAATGTTATGGAATAACTAAAAATCCAACTACAGGCAAATATTCGATAATAATGGATTATGCAAAAGATGGTGATCTCCGTAAATATATTAATTCCAATTATGAAAAATTAACTTGGGAACAAAAATTAAATTATTTACTTTGGATTATCAGTAATCTGAAAAAAATTCACGAAAAAGAGTTTGTACATCGTGACTTTCATACTGGAAATATATTATTATTACGTAACATTCCTCAAATTACTGATTTTGGGCTTACCTGTCCAACGAATATAGCGATAGATAAATCTAACCAAGAAATTTGTGGAGTACTTCCTTATATGAGTCCAGAGGTGCTAAATGGAAAACCATATACTCAAGCTGCAGATATTTATAGTTTTGGAATGGTTACGTACGAAATTGCAACAGGTGAACTACCATTTGGTGAACGAAGTCATGATATACATCTCGTATTAGATATCTATAAAGGAGTACGACCTACGATACCAAACAATGTTCCCGGATGCTGCAAATTTATTATTGAAAAATGTTGGGATCCTATTCCAGAAAACAGACCAACTGCTAGGGAGCTTATAGACTTTATTCACTCTATCAGAAACCCAGAAAAAACCATGTGGTGGAAACTGAATACTTTACATCTTCAGTACTACAGCTCCTTAGAATATCCTAAATCAGATGTAGAAATTAAAGAATGTCTTAAATTAGAGAGGCAGCAATGGAAAAAACTTGATAAAAAGCCACAAAAAAGTATTCCTACAAAAATTATTGAGCTTCTTAAGATAAAATCACAAAAAAGCATTCCTACGGATATAAACGAAAAGCAGCAAATCCACTCAAATGCAATTTACACGAATCGAATGTTTGCTTCGAAATTAATATCAATCCCAACTGATACAGGTAACGTACATTTGTTTTTATATTCAATCAAAATGACATTTCGGATTATTTTAAATATATCAAACATTTAGGTTCTACAAGTGTTAGTTTGTATGTTCCAAGTGAAGGTAAACGTACATTTGATACTCTTTCTTTTCATCAATTTTTTAATTTAAGATTTCTTTGGTTATAAAAACAGATTTTGATATTAGTATATCACATGAAATTAGTCTATGTGACTCCTCCCGCTAAATCACCAGCACCAACAACGACAACCATTCCAGAACGATGTGTAACAATTAGCAATGACGTTTATAAAGTTCAGCATGAGGACATGAGGAAATGGAACAATTGCTCGAAAGTTTTAATTAAAACTGAAGTCTCAAGCAAACAAAGTAACGATAATTCTTCTCGATACTAATCTTCTCCATGAATTGGTTCATTCGATGAACGATCCACATATATTTAAAATTGAAGCTGCGATGGCAAAAATTGTTGTTGATTCCATTGCTGCCAAATAGAATGCCAAATATGCGTATAATGATAAGTGTAAGCATCATTATAATATTATTTAACTTTATTTTTCTAATATCTCGACTGATATCAAAATGCCCGATAGAATTTAATGCTCCCCATGCAGGCAAACAGCCTCATGCTTAATTTTCAATGTATATTTTAGCTCGTTGTGGCAAACTATTAATATTATTTTTATATTTATGGAAGCAAAATAATTTTCTATATCAGACAAGCGTTACCCTATTATATCTATCTTTCGACCCTTATTTACATGTAAATCCCCATTCATAAACAATAATTAGATTTAATTTCTATATTACATTTTATTTCTTTTATTTTTCTTATCACACGTTATAGTTTTTATTATCATCTTTACTTATAAAGAAAAGATAAGGAACAAGAAAACAAACTTTATATAGCACTATGTGGATCAGAGATATTATTACTTCTTTACTATTATGGGGACCGCATACTAAAGGGATATCCTTACTGCAAGGTAGATGAATGGCCCAATTGCGTCCCTGAGATCCCTCATTTTATATGAATGTGTGAAAGTTACCTATATGACGTGTCTGCACGTATAAACTTCGCGTATATGACGTGACATAAAAACTAATGTCTTAATAATATTATTATTATTTATTCCTTCTTTAATTTAAATCTTAATTAAAAAAAATACCAATTTGGGCAAAAAATGCGAAAAATAAACCAGAAAACCTATCAAATACTTGGTCTATTAATAATGTTTTCATATCAAATAAATGCTGTTCAACAAGCACTGTATACAGCTAATCAAATAATTAAAAGAAAAAATCAATAAGTTTACAAATAGAGATGATAATGAATTCGAAAATTCTAATGATATTCAATAACAAAAAAAGGAAACTTTATCTGAAATTGTAAACAAAATTACAATAGATAAAAAATTAGGTTCAACTTTATTCGTCAATACGTAATAGTATCTATCACTTATTCTTTCTATTTCATGTATCTTATGTAAGAATTCTACTTTAGAATATGAAAAAGTTCATTAATTGGTAGCTGGATTTAGCATTAAAATATCAATACAATGCAATCAATGTGGAACAATTATTGAACATAACATACCAATCAAGTACCAGGAATTAATATTTCTTATTTGGTAGCTAGTATCACATTAGTAGATGGAATCAATCAACAGGCTTTTCAAACAGCATTGTCATTAATTGGAATTACAAATCAAAGTTATTCTTGATTCTATTATTTGTATCAATCAGCCATGTTTAATGAAATTATTCAATTTGCTAAAGAAAATGCATGTAAAACATTATTAAAAGTTTTAGATCATATTAAAAAAAGCAACCTCTCTTGATTTTGATGTATCATATCTCACTCTCGTAATACTGCACAAGCAAGTAATGAATTCATTTTTCTTGCTAATATATCTGGTAATTTTTTAATTTTTGAGTATTTTTATATATTTTTAATTAATTATTAATTAATTTAATAATTTTGATGTAGAATATATTCACAAACTGATAATTGCATTTTATACTATTGAAAAACCACGCATAAATAATAATGAAACAAATAAAAAAACAAAAGTGAAAGATGGTGATTTTGGACTTAGCTCTCAACAAATGAAACATACTATTTTGATTGATTTACTTGAAAAAATCACTCTAATTTTAGAAAGATGTGATTTTTTAATTGAAATATATATAGATGGTGATTTAAATATCAATAAAACTTTAGCTGAAGTTCTAATAGTCAGTGAAATATTTGCAGATTTAAAGCATGCTACAAAAAATATAAGAAAAGCTTTAAGTCATTTAATTAATAAATTATTTATTATATTTTTAAAAAACTATTTCTAAATTTTATATAGTAAACAAAAAATTTCATTCTTTTGAACAGCATATAATATGATATTTCAAAGCATATACTTATATAGCTGTATTAAGAAGAAAAAATCATTTACCTAATTATTCAACAAATAAAGAGCTTCAGTATATACAAGTTAAATATTTAATAAAACATCTTATAAATAATTATGAACTCTATTGGAAGGAGATTTGCTGGATTAAAAATAATCCAGAACTACATCTTCAAGAACCAACTTTAGAAATATATACTTCAGTTGGATTCCATGAAATAATCTCAAATATTTTTTGAATTCTAGTTGGACAAGTACTAATAATAACTTTTTGAATCTTACATAATAAGGTTTTCAATCAAAAAATTTATATTATTTGAATAAGAAAATCAATTTTGGAAGTCTTGTTACAAAGCATGCCATTACTTTGATAATTATAGATAATAATAAAGAATTATTAATAATATTAAATATTATTTATAATAATAGCAATATGAGAACTTTTAATGAAGAAGATTTATATAATATATCTAGATTTGTAACTGAAAGAAATATACATTCTATATAAAATATTATAAAAATTCAAAATTGAAATGAAAAACTGGCTCAAAAATATATAAATCAAAAAATTAAATTACAAGAATTTGACTTTTTCCAGATATTTCTTAACTTAATGGTTTATATTTTTAAAATCTATTTATAATTATTTTTGTTTTTATTTTTTTGTAGGAAATAATTCCATACAAATATAAAGCAAAAGAATAAATTTGAAATAGTGATTTTTGTCTATTATTTGTAAATTTAACTTCTAATTTTGAGATTTTAATTAAATGTAAAGGCTATTGAATATTTGAAAAGAGTTCAAGCAAAGAATTATGTTGTCTTTGTTATTTTTATTTGACTACTGGAATGGTTGATAAAATAATAGATGATTAATATCAAGAAATTCCTTTAATAGAATCTCAAACTTCACTTTTATCTCTGAATCATTAGATTTTGTAGCAAAAATAATTTATGGTTTTGAAGCTTTTTGGAAAGGACAATTAGAATCAATAGTTTTTTTTAGAAAAAACATCTGTTATACTTAAAACTGAAGGTGAAAAGATATTATGTTACATATTATCTGCAATTTATTTTAAAGGAATAATCATAGCAATATCTTCTTTAAAAGATATCAAAAGGTATAACTTTATTAATTCTATAATTTAAGATTTTATTAATTATCCTGATTTAAATTTGATTAATTTTTAGCACAAATTAATTTGTATGGGTTTTTCTTGTGGAAGTTTATATTCTAATTCAGCTCAGGATACTAGTAATCAGGAAAAAATTTTGAAGAAATAGCACTTGGACTTTGTAAAGTACTTTTTGTAACTCCTGAAAAAATTTATCATAATGCACAATTCGAAGTTTTTTATCCAGAATGTATCTGGAAGAAAAAGAACAAATTATTATTGATGAATCACATTATATTCTCAAATATCAAGACTTTAGGTACATATATTATTTTAAACTATATATTAATATTAATTAACAATAAAATACTAATAACTAAGCTTATAGAAATTCATGGAAAATTTAAATACTAGAAGAATGTTCCAATATGCCACTTATATTATTATCTGCAATAGTGACACATAATGATATTGAGCAAATCGTAAAGAATCTAAAAATTCCTATTGGTCATTGGAATATAATTCGAGACACTTCTTTCACATGGGATGAATTAATTTTTGAAGTTCGAAAAAGAACACATGGGATGAATTAATTTTTGAAGTTCGAAAAAGAAAAGATGCTAAATTAGTTTTTGTCAATGAGCTTGAAGTAATTATTCAAGAAATCAAATAAGGTCGAATTATAATTTATTGTGCTACTCGTGATAATTGCGATGAATCATTACAATTATTACAATCAAGAATGACAAATATTTATCATGGAGGTCTTGATGGTATTCAAAAACAAGAAGTAATGTTATGATGGAAGCAAATAACAAAGGTTATGATCAGTACTTTAGCATTTGGAATGGATATTAATTCTCAAGTGTTCGTTGTGTATTTTTACTTCTAGTCTCTTATCAATAAGTAAGTATTAATTATTGAATTTTTATTTAGAATAAAATTGAATTTTTAATTAATATAAATCAAGTAAGTTGATTCAGGGAGCGGGTCATGCAGGACGTGATGGTTTTCCATCCAGAATTTTCATATATTATTCTGGAAGAGATATCTGAATGAATTATGGAATTATTGCAAATAATCGAGCAACGTATATTATGTTCTTTTTAAATCAAATATTGTATTAGTATTTATACTTGGTGCTTATTCTATTATCCTTTTAGAAATCAACACAATGATGATGCACGCAAATATGTTTTAGAAAAAGGTGCCAAAAGTATATTTGAAGTACTCTTTTTCTATCGCACTCAATATACATGTCATATTCAATTACTCACAAAGTATTGTTCAAGGGAAGAGGATGACAACTGTTCAGAATGCAACAAATGTGATAATTGTATTGCATGAATGAAATATAATCCGCGTTTGGTTAATGCAAAAAATGAATTTATGGAATTATTGGAGGTGATTGAAACATTAACCTCAGAATTAGATGAACAAATAATTGCGGATGATATTGTTGATGTTTTTACCCGTGCCACTAATGCAAAAATGAAGCGAAAAGGATTTGTTAATTTGCGATTTTATCAAACTTCTAAACCGAAATTGTTACAAACGAAAAATTTAGCTTTTACGCTTTATCAGATTTGATTTTGCGGGAATATGTAAAGCAGAATACTGAATTACATCATCCTAGTCAGAGTTCGATTTTTTTAGCATGTAGTACATTTATTTGTGGTGTTATACCCGGAGCGCTTGCGAAAGCAAATATGGATACTTGGAAATATTAGATACGTTAATATAAATTTTCAGTATAATGTATATACGTATATAGGTATATAGATATTATTAGCTTAGTAATTTTCGTTTTTATGATTTATCAAAAGATAACGATATCAATATATGTAGTAGTATATTCAAACTGATCAACATACCCTTAACCAAAAATAATTTACGTGATACATGCATCAATCTTCACAGGTTCGGGTTCGTACATTTCCAAGATCAAAGATCAAACAATAGCAAATTGTTATAGTTGATTTATTCATTATACATGTATGAGATCATAACAGGTGAAAACCATTCAGTGGGCAAACTCACGATAACGGATGAATTTCCTGGATTTCCAAATTTATTATTGAAAAAAGTTGGGATCCTGTTCCAGAAAACAGACCAAATGCGAAACTTCATCGACATTATCTGTTCAAGTATACGGCTCTTTAGGATATCCTAAAACACACATAAAGAAATCTATGAGAGACTTAAAATGGAAACGATTTAATGAGGAGTGCAACTAAGAGATATCACTTGTGAACAAAGAATACTACATAGTAACAAAACACTTTAACAAAATGTGTGATTATGAATTTTATACTATACAAGTGCATTTCGCTCAATACATGTATTAAAAATATACATGTATATACATGTATTAAATATATACATGTATGTACATGTATTAAATATATACATGTATGTACATGTAAATATATACATGTATGTGCATGTATTTCGATATATAACGCAAAAATAGTTTCTTTGTTTATTAACGTTAACTTGCACATAAGTAATCAAATCAATTTAGTATTTATTTATTCATTTTCGTCATGAACGCTAAGTAAAGAATTTTTATAAGGAAGTTCGTGTTATTGGAAGGCAATGTTGATACCACAAAGTAAGGATCTTTGTAAGCAATGTGGATGCTACAAGGTAAGACTTTTTTATATGAATTTTGTGTAATTCAGGTGATGTTTTAATATGGAATTTTGGTCGGTTCAGGTGATGCGAAACAATAGTGATAGGAATAATTATTATTTTTTAATGCTGCAATGACAATGTATGCAGTTTTTTATTTATACATTTGTAATAACGAAATCTTTAATTAGTTTAATGCGATACTAATGATAAAAAATGGTAAACGTGTAGCTTCTCATATAGTCTCCATAAAATGATGGTTATTTCTGATATTGATTGTTTGCAATATGCCAGTTAACTGCTCCATTATGTCTAGAATGCAGGGTTTAGGCACCTTCATATGTACGGTTAATTTATCGGACACTGAACATTTCCGAATTGTCCTATGAATGTTTGGCATCTACCAATGTACGATGATACTATACTGGACAATTTGGAAGATTGTCCATTGTCCAGTAATATATTCGATGATTCATATCTGCTGGGGAATGAATATCATCCGATTTGCAGTGAGATGGATCGGAATGGATCGCAGGTTCCCGCGAAATTTCAAAGACTCTTTTATTACAAAAAATGGTAATGTCTCCTAAATTAGTACAACGATGAACGATAGCCACCGATTTATATTCCCATTTTTGGGCAATTCTTGAAAACCAGCCGTGAACTATCTAAAGAACTAGGTCTGATTCGAATGATTTTATATCATTCGATTGTTTTCATTGTGAATCGAATGATATCAAAATCATGAATTTGACGTGTTCAGTACTCAGCATGTACATATATATATATATATATATATATATATGAGTCCCTTTTCGTGCGAAAGTCCAACCGATGACGAAAAAAGATAAAACATTGCTATAACAAACTTTGACTGTAACCTATCCTACAACTACTCTGTTTGAATTATTGCAAAACCTACATTTTAATCTCGAATGAACCAGTCAAAATTTTTTGATAGCTATGCACAGTATCTAAAAGAAAAATGGGCAGCAGAACATCAAAATAACGAAGAAATCGAATTCGAAGGAACCGAAAAATTTTTTAACGAATTAATTATGTTACTTGAGATAAAGACCAATTTAATGAGCGATTTAAAGTACATTATGAAGTTTTGCTGGCTTCTAATGAAGATGGCGATTAATATCTTCACCATTTCCTTCAACGCACATAAAGCATACACTGATGGCAAGAGAGTCGATACGAAGATCAACTCCTTTGAATTATACATAATTTGCTATTTGTGCTTGTCTCTTCTCGCTAAGTTTTTCAAAAGAAAAATGGAAGGTGGCGTCCGATTATATAGCATCTTTAAAATGATGGATATCATATCGGGTTTCTCATTATTCACGTCCGTCATATTTCTGAATTTGGAACATACAATTTATTACCTTAAAGGTTATTGGAAACATTTGAGGAAAGAGAAGTCGACCTCCGCCGCCTATATGTTCTTTATATTTCACCTTCTAGTATCAATATTTATTTTGCCGTTCGCTGTTGTAGCACTCTTTCTCAAATGCCAACAAATCTCTCTGACGTTGGGAAATGTCTACCAGAATTTGGATAACTTGTTTCATGAAGATCATTTCGAAATCGCGAAAAATGTCATCAGTTTTGCAGGATTCACAATCAACATAGCTTACTTGGTGCGGCTTCCAAGTTTGGTTATGTGGCTTGAGCAACATTCTATAAATAGTAGCAAATTCTGCAACCTGTTGTTAAAACAGAAAGGAAAATGGTATGCGATAAAAGTATTCCTCAAATATGACGGCAATGGACCGCTTTTGGATAAAAAATTTTGGAAGCGCTGCAAGGGACATATAAATATTCCGAGACAATATGAAGTGTAGAATTTCTGGAAGTGATTAGTAATATATAGCCATGATGTTGTTTAGCAATATTTGCAAATTTTAGATGGGTTAGACTATTAATTAAAATTTTTTAGAATAGAAATTAGATATATATATGTATTTATTTTAATATTAATTTAATTTATGTAGTCATGTATATAGCATATATTTTATTCCTTAATCTGTATTTCGAGTAAATTTGCTTGGAATTTTAATTATTTTGTAATTTCATTGTATTATTTAATTTTGTAAATACCTCCCTATTATAATATTGCAAGATTAACATAATCTTGACTATAATTTTACATTAAATTTTCAGAAAATTTTATTCAAAATATAAGTTATACAAAATTTTATTAAGTTGACAGTTACAGTCAAACCTCCATAAAATAATATGATCAGGACGCCTAAATTTTGTTCTATCATAGAGATGTTCTATTATGGAGATTTTATTTAACTAATAAATTGAATTGGTCCTATAAAAAAGTGTTCTTAGCGGGAGGTGTTCTTTATGGAGGGTTCTTTTATGGAGGTTTGACTGTATTTATTATTAATAAAAAATAAAAATTATATAAAACTTTATTATTAATTAATAAATAAAAATTATATAATAATAATACTTGAAAAAATATAGAAAAATTTTCCAGGCAAATTTATCTGAAAATGTTCTAAAATATCTTAAAAAAGTTAATACTTGTTCATATTTTTGCTTGTCTGTACTAATATTACCTCTGATAATAAAATAATAATAAAAATATATATAATTACCAATTAATTATCTTAAAATAAATAATATTCAAAGTAAAACATTTAATATATATATTTTTTAAGTATATATATAATAAATAATAAATACTGAAAGTAATGTCTGATTTATATATAATAACATGAATAAATATATATATTATATTTTTTCTCTTTTATTCTAATTTTTTTATTATTATCTTACTTTTAAATATATATTGAAAATTTTTTTAGATATAAATATAATTTTTATTATATCAGTTAATTATTAACAGAAATAAAATAGTAATTTTTTTGAAATTATAAATATAAAGCAAGTATAAGATAAATATATTATAATTTAATTAGTATCTGAAATTAATATACATAATATGAATTTGCATATATATTTTTCAAATTTTTATCTTTGATAATACATAATCTTACATATCATAAAGCATTTTTCTATAATAAATATCATTAGTCATGCATATTCTTTATATCATGTATATAAATAATATTATTAGTTCATCTAATTAGAGTTTTTATTAGTTCACTTAGTATTAATATATTAATAAAATTATCAGATCTGTGATCAATATTTATAAATTAAATTCTAAAAATACTTTAAAATTTGCTGCCTACTTCTTTATTAATAGTTAAGATAATAAGTAATTTAATTACAAAATTTCTTATTCAGAATAATATAGCTAGCAAGAAAAAAGCTACAGTAAAATCTTTAAATAGCAATTCAAAAAATTACTTATCTGTTATTTTTTCATAATATATAAAAAAATCTAAGCTAATACTTATATCAAATTATCTGCTTAAAAAAATCTTAGATTTAACTCAGTATAAAAAATTATATTCTTAAGTTATTAAAAAGACTGTTGATAGTAATAATTATATATTTTGTAAATGGTATCAAGAATCTAGATAGAAGAATATTTTTGTTAATAATGAATGTAATTAAATTAAAGAAGAATTTCTTATATAATATTAAAAAACTTGTAATTATCAAAAAGTTATCAAAGAAAAATTAATTAATTGGATAGATTTATTTTAATTTAATTTAATAAAGATAAGATGAAAATTATTTGTCAAATATAATTTATTTATTTTTGGCTAAATATCATCTTGCTCTTGAAAAATAATTTGGTTTTTATTATTTAATAAATTATTTACATATCAATTATAATTGTATTATATTAAATAGTTAACTATTAGTAATAGAATTATTTTTCTTAGAATTTAGTAATATATCATTTATATCAAGTAGCAATTATATTACATACATAAATCTCAAAGCTATTCATAAAATTCTAGTATTATTAGCATGAATTATTGAAGAAGAAATATTATATAAAGTTTAAAAGTCTCTATTTTGAAGCTTAATAATTGATAAATATATTATTATTTCAAAAAAAACTTATATATTAGTTTCAAAATATATTATTAATAATGTATTAATTATTTACTATCTTGGAATATTAAATCTAACAGATTAATCAGCTATATATATTATTAATCAACTCTTAATCTTCTTTTCTTTAAAAAATTTAATTTTTAAATATCTTTTGTACTTTAAATCTGATGGTATTAGTATTATGACAGATATATATAATAGAATAGATATATCATTTAGCTTTGATTATATCAGATATAACTAATATTTTAAAAATTATAAATTAATTATTCATAATATTTATAATTATTAATTAGTATCAATCAAATAATAACAAATATTATAAACTATACAAGCTAAAAATAAAGAATATTTATTTCTAAATATTCTTAATATAACTAATATATGTTAACTTTCTTGAATAAATATTATATATAATCTTTATCAAATACTTGATAATATCAAATTAATATTTCAAAAAGAAAAAATAAAAATTATAACTTATTAGTATTTAGTAATAAATCAGAAATTTTTTATAGTAACAAAATTTTTGACTAATATTTTATATATTCTATAAAACTTATCAATATTTTCAATTAGATTAAGTAACTTTTGAAAAAATTAAAATTTAATTAATAATAACTATTAATATTATAACAGTAAAATTTTTGGAATTTGATAATAATCCTTCTTGTTTTGATACCAAACTTCTTAAATATCTATAAGAATATAATATTATAATAAATAAACTTCTATATTTTATTAAAAACTATATTTAAAATACTATTTCTATACAGGCGCAATCAAGTCAAAATTACGAATTTCCATATCTCTGCCTTTTAATTTACCTTTAATTGATTGCTATAGTAATGGGATTATTACGTATCTACTGTCTTTTATGTTTGATTATACAAAAAAATGACAATTAAAAATATCTCATCATGTTTTATTATATCAAATTATTAGGAAAAAATTTATGATTTATTTATTTACAATTAATAGATATACATTCATTTCTTCTATAACAATTAGGCAAGTATTTGCATTCTTCCATAATGAATCGTTTTAATTCCTCACGATTTTTTGGTTTTCGCTTTTCTACATTTCTTTAACAATCCAAAGATTTCGATCAGGACTGTTGGAACATTATTTGTAATAAAATTTTATCAATACGTATGATGTGTTTTGGATTATTATCCTGTTGAAATCGCCTCCTAATTCCAAACATTCTTCACATTTCCGGTATAAGATCCCTCAGCTTTCGATGAATTGGTCTCTCACTTTTATGCCAATGTTTGATTATGTTGCGGAAAAATTGAAGCAGTCTCATCAGTAAAAATAATCCCACCACCATTTAGATGACGATTAGCCAATGCAACGTGATTTCTTTGGTGGATACTTATTTTTTATATCTGTCTTTTTCTGGCACAAAGAACCTAGCAAATATGATTTGACAAGTATTTTATTGTTTGGAGATGAATTGTGCGCTCTACTTCTTTTCGGAGAAAAATCTTGTAATTTTTTTGTTTTTATTCTTTAATTTTATCAACTTCTTTTTTATTGATGGTCCAAGAGCCATACATTTACGTTAATTCTATCTATTAATTAATAATTCCTATTACATCAATGACAAAATAACTTTAATATTAAAACATAATAAAAGAAAGAATTGTGGTGAAAGCATTGGACCACCTAGATAATTAGGAGTTGAAAAATGCACAAAAGTTTGTGCTGAAAAAAATTGCTGAAAATACACAGTGCCGATCTTGCCATAATTATCGAAATAAAAATAACCGTACATGTTAATTGGGTAGTTCACGGAGACGGTAAAGTATTAACATCATAAATTATAACCGAAGTAGAATTACCTTACTTAGCGACTCCAAAAGAAGAGATTGGATCATTATAACGGACACATTAGTAGAATCACGGAAAAGACTCTTGAAAAAACACTGTGATTGTACTCACGGTTTACTTGGTAGATTCCCAGAAACAAGGTCCGGCGGGGGGTAACACCGTTAAATTTAAACGATGATTGATGGTGTACTCGAATATGGTATACAAAGTGAAGAAAGGTCGCCAAATAAATTTATTAAGCATTAAAGTTGTTGGTGCTTCAGTATTTTGTAATTTGTTTTAGAGTTGATTTTGAATGCGCTTTTTTCATGTAACTATCTCGGCTGTTGATGAATGATATTCAAATTTTTTATTATCTTATTATTTTTTTATTATTTATTAACTGTTTCAGATTTTTATGAACACGTCCAGATTCAATATTACACATACCCAAAACACTATAAAACAGAGAAGAATTGAAAATAAAGGAACGAGAATTATTGGATTATAATAATAGGAATTACAATGGAAAATCTCCATACTAAAAATAATGACAAAAAATATTCTTTATACAAAGATACACTTGATATAACGACCCTCGATATAACGAAGCATAATTAAAATCGCGAGATAATGAACTTGAGTTCAGGAACAATTTATTATAAACCACATGCTCGATATACAGTAATGTATAATGAAGTTTTTGAAATTTTACATACAGACCCGACTACTTCGTTATATCAAGAGTGGCTTTGTATTTTGAAAAATTCAAATTATTTTGTTGTAAAATTCAAATTATTTTGTTGTATTTACAGCAAAGTAGAAGGGTGCAATTAATTATGACCCTTATAGTACAACATTTACTAGTGAAAGATATGAGTAAACTTATTTATAGCTATTTTTTTAAGTCTCGCAAATTCACTATTAATAAAAGCACCATAATTTCAGCATCAAGCTCTTTTGATTCAAGTCAATCAAGGTATCGAGCATTCTTTGACCTAACATATTGAAAAACAAACAAAACTGTAAATACTTC